TTCCAACCCAAATCATCCTAGGGTTCTGTGAGCTCTGACCTGCCCCAGCCATCATGAAGCAGTGGCTGTCAGCTTCATGTCCCTGGCTCCTGGTCAGCTTGGATGAAGGAGCTAAGCCGAGTGTGACCATGGCATGGAGGATCCTGCTGACTCCATTGCATGGATAAGGGAAATTTAATTACATCTGTAGTATTTCCATCAATACTGAGCAGCAGCAGGCTGGGTCTCAGGGGAGATTTTTCATTGTGTTGAAATCTGACTTCATTAATTAAAAGCCTCTGATCTCATTTGAGGGTTAAGTTTATGAAACTGAATCCTTATTTCTCTGATTTCCTTATTCAGATGGTTTATTGAGTCTCGTACAGTGGATGGTTTGGACCTTAGAAACTCCCAAGATGTCTTATTCTTCCATCATGAGCTGTGCTGGAAAAGCATTGGGGCAAGGAGAGATGACGGAGATGTACAGAAGTTCTAGTGAAAGACAGAGAAAGAAAACACAACTCAGGAAAACTGAAAATGGGGACAGTTGCCCACTGTCAAAGGTCTTACTCCCCAACTAGAGTTTATTTTCTCCTAGACAAGAACTTCCCCTTTCTACATGGGATGCTGGAAATTTTCCCATCCTGTTTGTCCAGGGAGCACCAGATTTGGCTGTAGGCACTTATGGGAGTGCCCAGTTTTTATATAAACATCAATTTTTACTTTTTTTAAAGAGAAAATAGTCACTAAACAGCACTTGAAGCTTTGGGCTAGTGTCTAATGCCACTAGGAGAGTTATGTTAGATAATTGTAATACTTTTCTGAGACAAAATAGAGCAATTTGGGCTCATAATTAAAAGTCATCCAGACAGCTTTGATCCTTCCCTCTTTATCTTCACTTACCAAACACAAATGCCAATGAGAAACTCTTGGCAACAATTGTTGTCACTGTTCTTGGCCTTTGCCTTTAAATTAACTCCTTTTCCTCCCTTCCAGCCAAAGGGAGGAGTGGGAAGAGAAAGGGTTCTTTGGAAAGATTATTTTTTTTTGAGAGTGCCTGGTGTCCTGTCACCCCACAATGACAGCAAATGTGAATTTCATTTGGAGGCCTCACAGCTACCCTAGAAGAAGAGTTTGTCACTCCAGAACTGGCTCCAGGCACAGCTTCAGCTCGAGTGATGATGTGGATGTGGTAAGACCCACACAATCTGCCCTGGGCATGGGACAGGGAACTGCCACTGCTATGTCCCCACAGCCCACAGAGGGTCCTCAGGTGACCTCCAGACTCTCTCTGAGAGGGAACACAGCCTGGGAAACTCCCCTCTCTTCAGCAGCAGGTGTGAATGTCAAACCTTGAGGTGCTGAAGGTACCAAACCATGCTTGTTTTTCTCAGAATTGGCAGTAAAGCCAGAGGGTCACCATTTCCCTGGGTTTGTGTTTGTCAGTGGCACATCAGCACCAATGGTCCCTAATTGAAATGACCCTGAGGGGCTCCCAACATCTCTTAGCAAACGAGGTGATTGCTGCAGAAAGGTCAGGCTGTACAGCAAAGGAACAAATCCTCTTTCTTGGATTGATTTTGTCAGTATCCTCTGGAGACCCTTCTGCTCAATATCCTCTATAGTCCAAGTTTTTGCTTATCAATTTTTAATCTCTCTTTTCATTTTTTCCCCTCATCTAAAGATGCTTCTGAGAGCCAGGCCTTCATCCCTCTGTGGGATACTATTTCTTTTCTCACCCAAAATCGTGACCAGCAACAGGAGACAGTGTAAGACTTGCCTAAATCCCTGGGGATTAGAGTTTTGCAGGGGGGAACAAACTGCAGCTCGGATGAGGACAATTGATCGAAACAGCCATTACTGCTGCAGCACTAAGACTTAAAAAGCAATAGTCATTTCCGACCCCCCCTTAAGTCAGACGCCTGTGTTTAAAGCCTGCAGTGGGAATACAAGCCCTGTAATGAGCCCTAATTCCTGTTCTGTGGTGGAAAATGGCTTTGTTTCCTCTCTCCCAGAGGTGATGCAGCAGAGTCTTCCAGAGCAGACTGTCTTCGTGGGTGCAGCAGGGCAGGGAAGGTGATTCCTTCATGGAGAGGAGGCAAACTGGAGCCTGCTGCCTTCCCTCATGCTGTTGCAGTGGGCAGGAGCAAGTGGAAAATCTAGAACTGCTGTGACCAGGGAGCTGCCCCACACCTTTGCACACGTTAAGACACACCAGGCTATCCCAGAAGGAAATTTCCACGGCTTTGAAGCTGAGCTGACTTCCCTGCTCAATTCACAGCTGGCTGGGAAGGGGTTAGAATGGGAGAGAGTCCTGTGGGTCCCTCATTCAGCCTCCTGCGACTCCGCGGACACCACAAGGGATGTTTGGTTTAGAAGGGAATTTATTCAGTGAATTGTTAGTGCGGTTTATTTCCCTGCTTCCAGTCCTCAAGATGCAGCTAATGTGGGCTGGTGTGACGAAGGAAATTCAAAGGCATGAGCTGGCGGGCAGGGTTTCCCTGGAGGGATCTTGTGCTATGAGTGGGTGAACATCTCCTCGAAGGAATTTGCTGCTCTCCCAGAAAGAGCCTGGGGTGCAATGCTCCGAGGGTCTGCCGGGCATGGGCACCTCGAATTCGCCGTGTCTCCCGCAGAAGCAGAGTACGAGTCTGTGCGAGGCTGAGGAGGCTGCGGGAGAGGCAGCGATGCTGAGCTGAAGGCAGAGAGTGCCGCTTA